CTTTCTCCTTTAATCAGCTAAACAAAAACCTTCGAGAAACTTAATTTTTTTCAAGTGTTACTTTTAATTCTACAGGAATATATACTTTTTATTTTATTATCGCGCGTTTGCAGTTCATGCAGTTTACAATCATTCTGGGGAGTGGTTACATGTATATATCACAGCTTGTTTTTTAATCCCCTTCCCTCCCCCTCCTCCTCCAATTCCCCTATCACATTTTTCATTCTTGTTGTTATTATTATTATTATTATTATTATTACTATTATTTTTTGTACCGGGGATTGAACTCAGGACCTTGTGCTTGTGAGGCAGGTGGCAGCACCACTGAGCTACATCCCTGGCCCTATGGCATTTCTTTATTCTACTTATTTCTCTTTCCCTTCCTCCTCACCACTGGCACTTTTTCCCTTGGACCACTTCCTCTACAGGAATATTTTTATAAAGTAAATATGTTACATTAGCTACTAGAATCACAATGTCAAGTTCTAGGAGTTATTTGAAATACTCTAAGTGAGGTCAGGTGGATAATTTCAGAGTTTTACGTGTAAGTATATGGTTGTTGTGCACATGCTGCAATAAATTTAAATCTTTTGGATCCTTTTTTTTTTTTTTTTTTTTTCCTTTCTTTCTTTGAAACCATTGAGTTTCTCTTCCCCCTTAGGTATAGTATATGCTTTAAGATTTGCTCTATTAATTGGTCATACAAAAGCACTTGGTGATAATCTGAGATCCAGAAAGCATTATGGTGAAGACCAAGTTAAACAGCCAGTCAGCACTTAATAAGTTAGTGTGATCATAGACATGTATGCATGAAGTTGAGATTTGTTGGCCTTTTTTCTGTTAAGAACTAGGGCAGGAATAAGCAAACTATGGCAAACACAACCTGTGTTTTATAACCTGGGAGTTAAGAATTTTTTTTTTTTAATTGGCAAAAGTGGAGAGGGAGAAAAGGAATACATGACTGAGGTTGTGGCCTACAGAGTTTAAAATATTTCCAATGTGGCCCTGTACTGAAAAAGGTTGTGAATTCATTGCAAGAGGAATTAAATATTCTGAACTGAAGATTTCTAAAAGTAAATAATGCTTAAATAGTAACTAGTAAGCGAGAGACCCTGCTGGTTATAAAAAGGCCAGTTGGTACAAAGAGAAGAGGGAAGCTAGCATAGCCAGGAACCAGACTACAAATGCTCAAAACTGATTAGTGACTAGGCCAATAATTGTACACACTATGTCCCAGCCAATAGGTAGAGTAATATGACATCATTAAAATGCATTTAGGGCTGAGGGTGTAGCTCAGTGGTAGAATACTAGCCTAGCATGGCACAGTGCCCTGGGTTTGACCTCCAACACTACAAAAGAATAATATATATTAATACGTAAAAAATGGGGTATAAACTATGCTTTTACACTCATGTTGGTGACATACAGGAAGACATGTAATTAAGATACATTACAGCAAATATGGACATATTGACCTTAGTACATCTCTAGTAATCTCTTACCTACTAGTTCTAAGTAGTTGGTGCAGCAATATTCTTGAAATTATCACATTGTCAGTGTCTTTATTTTAAACTTTTTTTTTTTTAATGGTACTGGGGATTGAACTGGGGACCTTGCGCTTGCAAGGCAGGCAGCTGAACCACTGAGCTAAATCCCTGGCCCCAGTGTCCATATTTTAAAAAGAAACATAAGTGACTAGGTTAAGTAAATTACAAATCCAGGTCTGTATCATTCAGTATTCAGAGAATAATTGGATAAATGACATTAATAAATGGAAGGATTATTTGCCTTTTCACTAGGAAGAATTAACCTTCCAACATAGCATGACAAAGCTAGAAGTTTTAATGCAATGGAATTCCCAGTCATTACATATGCTTTTTAATTACCTGACAGACTACTAATAACATTAATTGGACATAATAAGCATAGTACAAAAAAAATAAGCATAGTACAGATTTTCCTGTAAGATGGTGGAGTCTTTAGTGAGGTACAAGCATTTTATAAACCAATTACCAAAGCTATATTGAATGTAAAAATTGATCATAAATGTTTGTACATCCCACAGGCAGCTGTCTTCCTTGGGCCAACTTTTATCTGATATGTATACCAAAAATGTAAGGTATGTATTTAATCACATTCCCCAAAAGGAAAATTTACTTCATGAGGTACTAATGGTAACGTTTATTTTACTGAAAAACAGGGTGCTTCAATTATAGGAGTGCCCCCCCCCTTTTGGTATTGGGGATTGAACTCTGGTCCTTGTGTTTGTGAGGCAGGCAGCGGAACCACAGAGCTAAATCCTGGGCAGGAATGCCCCTTTTTAAAGAGCAAAAACAACACACACACACACACACACACACACACACACACACACACACACACACACACACACACACACACCCTAGATACCCTTTTATTGTTTGGTTTGGTTTTTGTTTTTGAGACAGGGTCTTGCTTCAAGGCCAGCCTGAACTACATAGTGAGAGACCCTGTCATTCATATATATATACATACATACTGTATCTATCTGCTTAATGAGGTTCAATGTATGTAAACTGATACCCTGCTCAAACCCTGCTCACATTTGTTGATGAGCTTCTTTCTTTTTTTATGCTTAGGGCTAGGATAAAACACAGTGGTAGAGCACTTGTCTGTCTCAGGCATTGAGGCCCTGTATTCAATCCCCAGCAATACCCCCTTCAAAGTTTAAACAACTTAAATCGTATCTGGTGAACCCAACCATAACTGGAAAAAGGTCTTAATAAAAAAATGTCCAAAACCAGGTTTTTTGCGTACAAAAAATATGTCCATAACATCCCCAAAGTGTAGATTAAGGAAGTGATCAGAATCCTTTTTCCGGTGTTTCCATAAAACCAAATTGTTTGCCATGAAGAGGCAAACATCTGCAGGCCACTAGAGGATGGGAAATAGGGAAAGGCAACATGTTTTTATGGTTTCAAGGATAACTGTTCTTCCTGACAAAGACAAGCTTCATTGATTCCATGTTTCCAGAAAATAACCTTAAATGACCTTTACATGAGTTACTTCGAGATGCTTCCCTGGGCCCGCTGTGGGATTCTTGACAGGCCTTTGAAGCCTGAGGCTCCTTCGGAACGGGAACGTTTTTTCTGGAGTGTTGTTACATAATGCGCTGCACACTGAGAGTTCTGTGGGCAGATTCAGGAATCCCTGGCAAGCTGTTAAGAATCTGAGGGAAGGCGGACACGTAATGAGGCTTGGAAATAATGGTATTTCTGCACCTTGTTCAAGTCTAATGTTTATCCCGGTCTAGCTTCGAATGATATTTTAGCTTCCAGCTGCTCTTCACTCAATTATCTCGGAGAAACCCTCACTTTGAGTGGCTGAGGTGAAAAGCCACAGGAGAGGGATGTTTCCTTAGGAAGAAACAGAAGGGCAGCCCTTTTGCAACCAGGCCAGTGTGTAGGGTAGAGTGGAAAGGCCCCTCTGTAAGCTCCGTCGCTGGCGGGTGTGCGCAGGTGCCCTGGAGGAATGTGTGGGGCGCGCTCGCTCTTCTAGGTGGGTGGGATTTTGCCCCTCTTGAATTCTTCCAAGCCGACCAGACCCCCAGACCCTCGCTCCTCTGTGGAAGGGCGAGGTGTGCGCCGCTGGCCTAGTGCCTGGTGCCGCGTCACCAGGGTGTCGCCCTGTAGCAGAAGGAAACAGGGAGGGGGGACAGTGGCCGCCCCAGAAAAGGGAGGCAGTCACAGGGACGTGCCCTGTAAAACCTAGACCGAGGTCTCCTGAGGCCGGCCGTACCTTGTGCCGAGTCCCCAGGCCAGAAATAAACCTATCAGGTTCTGTCCGTGGGGGGTCCGAGGGACGCGCCCGCGTGGTACTAGCACTTCAACCTTCGAAGCGGTCAGGTTCCTACCCCTCTTTCATCGTTAATCCTTTCTGCGCCCTGTCTGCTCCAAAAGAGCAATTCAGTGCCTCTCCACCTTCCTGTCTTGAAACAGTCGGCCCACAGGGAGCCCCCGCAGCTGCTATCCACGAAACTGCTACAGGTGGGCAGTCTGTGCGTTGTCTGGCTCACCGGCAGGAAGCGACCGTTTATTTTCAAGATGGTCTGTTAAAGGAGTCAGGAGCTATTTAATAAAGGCCCTGTTGTGAAATTGGCCTGCATGTGATTCCAACTCCTCACCACTTCTTGCAGATTAACAAGTTTGTTAAGTCAGGTTCATGGATCAAATGACAGAATGCAGCCAGGCTGGCGGTGCTTGGCTGTAATACCACCGCCATGGGAGGCTAAGGTACGAGGATTCCAAGTTCTTCAACCCCAGGCTGGTCAATTTAACAGCTCAGTGAGACCCTGCCTCCAAATTTTTTTAAAAATTAAAAGGTCTGGGGATGTGGCTAAGTGCAGAAGTCCAGGTTTCCGTTCCCAGTACAGGGGGAGGGGGAAGGGGGCAGGGAGTGCAAGCAAAGGCCTTGGAACAAACATTACCAAGCCTGCAGCTGGTCTCTGACTAGAACGCTGAAGTATGGGGCCTGGGCTCCTAGCCCGTGGCTCAGCAGGCAGGAGGCCCTGGGTTTAATCCACAGAACAAAAAAGAAAAGGGAAAGCAATGAGAATTTACCCAGCACCTTTGCTTAAAAGTTCTTAGATGGGTTGGGTATGGAAAGTTCTGAATCCCCATGCCCATGGGAGAAAGCATAGGAATGTCCTCCCACCTACAATCTGAGAGAAGGTATTTACATCTTCAGTATACAGGTTTTTGTTGTTGTTTTGTTTTGTTTTGATTTTTGGTACTGGGGATCAAACTCGGGTCCTTGCGCTTGTGCCCCTGGCTCTTCAGTATGCAGTATATGACATCTGCCGGACAGCCTTTCAGGATCGTAGTTGGCCCTTTTATCCTTCTTGTCTCCTTTTCCAGGGCTTTCCACTTGATGGATATACTTGAGAGGGGCGAGAGACAAGCCAAATTTTGGTAGTGCTGTGTTGTCACACCACCATACCGAAAGTGAAGAGGCAGACTAACCTCATCTTGGGTGCATTTTGCTGGGCAGCAAGCTGTGGTATTTCCCAGCTCTTGCTCTCCCGCATGCGCACACTTCCATTATTTTTATTGCTTCCTGGACAGCTAGCTAGGTTTGGAACCAGCTACAGATAAGAGATCACTCCAAAAAAGAAGTACAAGGAAAAAAATGTTAGGGCTTTTTTGCTATTAGTGCTTTTTTAAGTTGCACTAATGACTGTAGTAGTTGATATACAAAAGAGAATTACCTCTTGCAAAGAACTGAAAAGGGGCGAACTTCACACTTGTGATTTATTCATGATCCACAATCATGAGATAGTGAAGAATTCCTTTCTAGGCTGTGTTGTTGCTTTCTACAAATCCCTGCAGGGCCCCAAATCCTTGTCCCTTCTAACACCATTCTTAGTGACCCATAGCCAAGGCCAAATGATGATACTATTAATAGTCATAATATACATTGCAGAGTAAAATTACGAGATTCCCACACCAGTAGAAGAGCTTGAGGTTCCTTGTACTTTAGAGTATTTAGCTCTCATCTTTCTGAGAGTGACATGGAAAAGTTTATATAAAGTTTGGAACTTTTTTTTTCCAGTACCAGGGATCGAACTCCGGACCTTGCGCTTGCGCAGCAGGCGGTGAAACCACTGAGCTAAATCCCCGGCCCCCTAGTTTATATAAAGTTTATAATGTTATCTGAGTGCATTCTGTGACAAAAGAAATTCTAGCTCTTAGGTTTGAGATAGCATTGGTGGGGGGAGTGTGGGGATAGTTACACATTTCTACTTAAGATTATGTACTTTTAAAATTTTTATTTATTTTTGCAGTAGTGGGATTGAACTCAGAAGCACACTACCACTGAAGCTACATCCTATCCCTTTTTATTTTTTATTTATTTATTTATTTTTGGTACCAGGGATCAAACTCGGGTCCCTGCGCTTGCAAGGCAAGCGACGGAACCACTGAGCTAAATCCCTGGCCCTTTATTTTTTGTTTTGAGAAAGGGTATTGCAAAGTTACTCAGGCTGATCCTGAATTTGAGATCCTCTTGCCTCAGCCTCGAGTAGCTGCGTATCAACACACCTAGCTAGATTTATGTAATTAATAGCACAAAATCATAAAACAAAAATGAAATGAGGACTGCTATATGGCTCAGTGGTAGAGCACTTGCCTGACACCCTTGAGGCCCTGAGTTTGATTCTGAACACCGCATACACACACACACAACTTATTTAGTGATGTGGAAAGATAGTCACCATACACAGTGAAGTGACGTATACAAGATAATCCAGTTTTCTAAGAAAATTACATTTTTGTATGTATGTATGTGTATCAAAAGAATTCCTCTGTCTATTGGAATAATGAATTGTATTAGTTCTCTGTTTTTAAATGTTACATAGTGATAATGTATTGCTTTTGTAATGGAAAACAATAGTTACTTTTAAATTGTCTTTGTTACTTAAGTGAATATTCTGTTCCCTTAGTTGTCAGAGGAAAATAATGTCAATTTGATAAATTGAAAAATTGACACGCCTGGAGTTAACTGCTAGAAGATGCCCCCTCTGGAATGTGAGGCTGAGGGTGAAATCTTGTTCTTTTTCACTCTAAACTCTGGGGTGTGGGTTTTCTTTCTTGCTTTTAAAATATGTTCCTGTTTTACTTTGCCAAAATAAATTGTATAAGATAAAATAAAAACAAAATGTGTCTCGGTGCTGTTCTTAAAGGTTTATTTTCATCCAGGTCACCCTACCCTTTCCCTTTGCCATTCAGCCAGCAGGGGAAAGAACACCCAAGTGAAAGGCCCTTGGAATAGCAAGCAGTATCAAATAGAGACAAATTACGTATAGCTTAATATACAGCGTGAGGTTTTTTTTAATTGAGGGGATAGGAATACAGCTTCTCGATTATCATAAACTGCGTCATACTCTTGGGGAGGGCCTTCTTGGCTTGAATCTATTACTGATTATATATCTTAACCACTGTGGGAACTGCATTACCAAGAGTTGTCAGTTTGTATATTTAGCGCCCTCTAGTGCATTATTTTTAAAACGCAAAAGCTGCTGTTAACTACAAAATTTCCATCTACCTTCACAGCGTGGTTTATTTTGCTGCTTATATCCAGACTTACATTCTCTGTACCCGCGTGGTTTTTCTTAGCCAGGCGATGCACTAAGCTGTGTCTCTGCACAAATTCCTTAATCTCTCTAGACTTCAGTTTCCTCATCTATAAATGAAGATGATAATCCTAAGTACCTGGTAGGGTTCCTCTGAAGACTAAATGATCTCATAAGTGTAATGTAGGTGCCTAGCACATAGTAGGAGCTCAATAAGTGCTAGCTGGATTTTTTGTTTTGTTTTATTTTTGTATCTTCGGTGCAGGGGATTGATCCCAGGGCCTTGTACTTGGTAGGCAAGTGTTGTATATGTGAGCTGCTTCCCCATCCACTAGCTACTTTTTACATAAAAATAGGTCTACTCAGTACTACATATGACTGAAGAGAAGTAATCAGTCTTGGTTCAAGTATCATAATTTAGATGAGAAATGTAACGTTATAGAGTAACCAAAAAGGAAGGTCTAGCTATAATTCTAACTTATAGCCCCATTTTACTGAGCTAATTCTGAAGTCTGGGAGCATATTAAATTTTTTTGTATCCTTCACGGTGCTTGTAATTGCACATTCTAAACAAATATTTGTCATTTTGAATGTTCAAGCTAAATTGTTTTATAGTAGATCTTAGAAAACTGATGTCTAAAATTATTAGTATAAAAATTAGAATATTTGGATTCAACTTTATGTTCTTTAAGCTAGAGGCTTTTGGATTAGTATAACAATTTGTTATCAATGCACAAATGTAATGACATCAGAATTGATTTTGGAACCCATGTGAATCATGATTTATGAATCAAAGACTCGTAGACTCCAGAATTGTGCACTCATTCATTCTAACCCATTTCCAGCATATACAGCTCAGATTTATTTCTTCTGCCACAGTCCGAGTCCTTCAGATATTAGGGGACCGTCTCTGTTCTTTCCCATATTGGCAGTCACAGTTTTGTGCATAACACCACACCCCCTGGGTGTCCCAAGAACCCAGTTAGTTACCTTAGGAAAGCATCGAGTACTTCTGACCCATGAGTCGGTCATATGTATAAGAAATGTCTCCCTATGTTAGACAGGTCACAGTGTAGTTTCTCCTTCCTTTCTCTTGCCTCAGTGCTAAGCCAGATTAATTTTCTCATGAATATCTACCAGTTAACCTTGTATTGAGTCTGCCAACGTTTGGACATTATCCTAAGCATATATGATTTATAACTTTTCACAAACACATCTAGAAAAGTGGAAGGTACTATCCCCATTCTCCAGAGAAGAAAACTTGGTTGACACTGGTAATGAGTGGCAGAGTCAGACTTCTAATCTGAAGGTGCCGCTGGGGCCTGTAGTCTCAACACTACATCAGAAACTTTTCAAAAGGAAGTCTTTCAGTTCAGCCATTTTCAGAAGTAGACACAATGAATCTTAGAGCTCCATTTTGGGCAGAAGACCATCAGTTTTAAGGTTTCCTCCCTTCCAAAGCAGCCCACCCATCAAACCTTGCCACAATGTAATTATAACTGCGATCAGTCATATTTGCCTTGCCCCTTGCCGTTTTCAAAGGTTGGCCCATGGGGAATGTCCTTTTCTCTTTTTGCATTTGTCATCAGCTGAGCCTCCAAACTGGGAAAGCAAGCTCTTTTCTAGCAGAAGACTGCAGCTGCTATTATTTACCCCCAGGGGAAAAACCACAAACCAAATCTTTACAGCTGGGAACGCTGAGATCTGGCTGTGCAAGCATATAGACATCTAGACACAGGGCTGAAGGAGGGGCTCAGGCTGGCCGTCCTAGTTGCCGTCCCCTGGGCAGTGAGTGCTGCACTGGAAACTCGGTCTTGGCCAGCAAAACCACACTGAGCAGCCCTTCAGCCAGCCTGGGCCTCACCTCCCCGAGTACTCAGTCCCTTAGGCCAAGCTTCTGATCTCTTTGTTTTTCCTCTAACTCTGCTGACCCCACCCTCCACCTTAACTCGCTCTGGTCAGAGCTTCCTCCTGCTGTACACCTTAACCCCTTGGCAAGTTCACGGTGAACGCCAAGCTTGTGTGGGCGGAAGGTTTTAAGTAAAAGCCGCAGACCGAGGCCGGCGTGGGGGAGGAGCCGCAAGGGCGGAAGAGCTACAATTTGAAAACAAATGAGCCTCTTTCATCCCAGTAGGATTTTTGTTTATTAAGGTCTGCTGTTGCAACTCATCAGAAGCTAGGGTTTCTGGAACTTTGACAAAGATCAAGCAGGAGCCACAGAGTTGTCCGTGTGTCTTCCGTGACAGTTTTAGTAAAACTTGAGGCGGCCTGGAGAAATCCTGTTTAAAAAAGTGTTAGTTTCTTTTCCAAAAGACGAGGTTGCACATATTTTTTGCATACGAGAAGTTTCACAAAATGACAGAAGAGGTTGAACTTAAAAGAGATCTGACTAAATATCATCTAAGAAAAGTTACATCTTGTCAGTCTTCAATTATCTCTGCCAGTGGAGGAGACCCAGAGACATGCTTCTACTGGGACTTTTCAGTCATGTTTATTTGCATTTGGCATCCTGAAGTGTTTTAGTAATTAACATTTTAATATGGGTGTGCCTGTGGTTCTGGAAATGTCCAACTGTTTACATCAAATAACAAAGCTCCTCATTGAAGATGGGCCTGGAATGCTGTCAGATGACTTCCAGCCACTGAACCAACTCTGCTGAGGCCTGGAAACAACAGGGGCTTTGGCTTCAGCCAGAGGGAGGTTTAAAAAGCCTGATGCTGCTTTGCAACTTTTCAGATTACTCTGGCAAATAGAGAAAATGAAATAATAGCAAGACCTTTGGCCATGGAATTTGAGAATGGCCTCAGAAGTCATTAGGGAACTCGTAAACAAAGTCAAGAAATACACCTAGCATTCAATCCCATATTTTAATATTTAAGTAATCCAGATGGATTGCAAACTTTGAGGTAGACCAGAGTTGCTAATTACCTGGGTTAGAAGGCTTTAGACCAACCCCT